ATTCAATTCTGGGTTGGTGAGGATCATTAAGTGTCATTATAGTCAGTGTAACCCTGTCAGATTTCTGTCTTCTCCTCCAACGTTTCCTCTTCATGCTGCAACGGCGCTGTTTCTGTGTGGCGCCCGTGACGTACCTGAGCTAATCAACTGTCACCCTCCTTTCCTCTCAGCAATTAGAAAGGCTGGGAAGTGGTTACTGTTCCCTCCGGTGTCCTGTTTGATTCCTCCTCGCCTCCAGCAGCTTGTTAAATCGACATTTTACGCATTAGGCTTTGGCTTTTACCTCGATAGACTTACAATAAGCGCAGACGGCGGGATGAGTCGACACGGGTGGATCCCCGGGATGCTCCATCAGGTCATCCGCAGACCTCCTGTGTGTGGTCCTGCGATATGCAAATAGGCTCATTCTCCAGCACACGTAGCGGCACGTTTATGTGCTGGTTGTAAGGGGATGGTGGGAAAGTTGTGTAAATATCATATACACACTCACAGGAGTCTATGCTGTATAAATGAGACCATTTCTCAGCAGTGAGGGCGTTATGTTAGCTGTGATCAATGCAACAATGATGTGTTACATTAAAAGTGGGATTTTTTTATTTTTCATGTGACAATCACAGCAGCAAATGCGCATGTACGGGAATAAAGGGGGGTTAACAGGAATCATTATGAATGTTCCCGCTGTAATTCTCTATAGCAGCACAGCGGGCTAGTACGGCTAATTCTGCTATCTCAGTGACTCATTCATAACGCGGAAGGAATAGCGTTTATATTCTGTCCCCCCCGCTTTTCTCACTTTGCCGTCTTCCTACATTAAATTCTCTCTTTCAACCGTTCCCGACCCATGAGTAGCATGGTAGTAGTGTCTGCGTGGTGGCCGAGGTGAATTGATTTGGAAATGTATTTTCATGCCAAGGTCTTGACTTTTTAGCCAGAGGGGGAGCGTTGGCTCCTCACGTGAGCTGAAACGGGGCAGCCGGAGTTCTCATTAGATTTGCAAAAACCAATATCTGGGTCTTGAGTGCCTTAGTGTTTCTCCATTTTTATTTCAGTTTCAGGGGGATGGAGGGGTGCGGGGGGCTGCACTTAGTCCTGAGCTTTATGAAAAGAAGGCATTTGAGGAAAAACAAAAGAGAAAAAAAAAACGATTTTCGCAGTCGCAGTCATCAGCATCCACTGCGGGAGGTGCAGGGTCTCTCCTACGTCATTTCATACTGCGGTGTGCACGCGTGTGCGTGTGCGTGTGTGTGTGTGTGTGTGTGTGTGTGTGTGTGTGTGTGTGTATTGAAGTGACTGCATGCGTGTCTGTTTGTATCAAATTTAGCAGCAGCTTGTTGAAGGCAATTCTGCCAGACTGAGACATACTGTCACATTAGCAGCGAGCATACCCTACATTTTGCAGACTGTATCAGCAGGGAAAACACAGCATCAGTCCAAATTAACATATGTGCTGTGACGCTTTGCAGCCCACAGGTTCCCGTAAAAGATTACGTTGTGTAAATTGAAACAGATTCTCCCCTCAGAGACAAGTGGATAGGGGGGGGGGTTCAGTCCAGGGTAATACTCCGCTTGTCCGCCGCACAGTAAACTAAACTCAAGTATTCTAGTATTCTAGGTACGCGTCAGTAGCCAATTCAGGAGCGTCTCCCGATTCATCAAAAGCCCGCCGCACTTGTAGAGTTTTGGAGATAGTTGCGTTCAGCCACACGGATTGAACCTCCCACGACATTGAGGAAGGTCCACGCTGACACACTTTCAAATGGGTTTTCACATTAAAGCCAATTACTTGGGTCGCGAGTACCTGAGAGCGAACCAGTATAACTCGTCTGTCCTAACTGAATCTTTAATGACGCCCAATTGAGTGCATTTTATCTGGTTCAGTGATGACCAATACTTGTCTTCTTGTCTTTTCTTTCCCACACATTCCTTCTCTTCTTCCTCCCCTCCGCCGTCTCCTTCTCTTCTTTCATCTCCTCTCCGCTCCAGGCCTGTAGATTCTGCTGAAACCTCCCGTAGTCCTTTTTGCAACACTGAAAAGCAACGACTTATCTCCCCCACGCAACCCAGGCTTAGGAGAGGAGTAGGAGGAGAAGAAGACGGAAAAAGATGATGAAGAAGAAGCCAGAAGAAAAGTGTTCACCGCCAAAAAAAAATACAAAATCAAACGAGGAGACAGTTGCCCACTGGCAAAACTGCTGTATGACAAAGCTCACGCTTTTTTTATACATATCTCACTTATCCTTTCACTGCTTTCGTTTCCTTTTCCTCATCTTTTCTTTCCTTGTGGCATGTCTTTCCCCAATTGGGTCTTCTCTAATCTCATGTTTCTTCTGACTGTATTTTAAGTTTTTCTCTCCTTTCCTCTCGCCGGTACGCCTCCCCTCGTTATCAATTATGCCACTTATTTCTCACAGTTTTTCATTTTATTTCCGTTTTGGCAGCACGCCATCGCATTGGCAGAGAAGCGTTGCCGTGTTAGCCGTGTTCATGGCAACATGCCGCATCTTGTAGGAGACGCTTGAAAACAATTTGTTTATTGACATCATAACAAAACAAGCTACAAAACAGTTTTGTATTGGAGCTCACCTTACACCTCCGGTTCACCCATCCTTTTTTTTCCTCCTTACCCTCATTATCATCCCCACAGCTGCCACTGTTTTTGTTCCGTCCCTCCTTACCCCGGCCTCATGCATAGACGTCATCTCTCTGCCTCTTCTCCCCATCTCCCTGTCCATCCTACTGACCCGTGTGTCTCTCAGCGGGCCGGGCAACACTGCGAAGGCTGAGTTACTGTCCTGGTTGGGGAAGAGCATTGACTTTTTGGTGTGTTTCTTTCTTTTCTCGTTGCAGACTGTGTTTGATCTCGTTTCCCTCCTTAAGCGGGATAGCAAAGCCTGTTTCTTTGTATGGTCGTGGTTGTGGTCTTTTAGGACAAGGTGGTAGCCATAAGCCTTCAGAGTCAGATGCTCTCATGAGTCCTTTCTTCGATTTGCTTCTGTTTTTATTGCATTAGTTGTCATGGAGTGGGGAAAAAAAGCATATCTTTATAGTAACGGTGTAAACCTAAAAAAAAAAAGTACTATTATATAGATATTTTATTTTTTAACCATTGTATAAATACAGTATTGATTAACTTATGTACTTTGATTGCAAGTTCACCCACACCGTGAGTAAATAAAAAAGGGGATTTCTTTTTTCTGTGAACTTTAGGCACTATTTCTAATGCTATTGATGTGTTGACAATTTTGTCTTTTCTTTGTTTTTTTTGTTTATAATTTAAAATCTGTGGTTAATTGCAGAACCAGGAGTCTCTTTTTTTGATGGTTGCCTGGTGTCTAGTTTTTTATTTTGTCTCCCGTTGATTATTTCCTTGCCATCTATCATTACATGTCACAAGAAGATGTGTAAGAAATCAAAAGCTGTTGTTTTGTTGGATAGTTTTACATTTTGAATGAGTTATGTCTGTCTTTTGCACTGATTTAATAAAGCCATTACTGAAAATTCAATGGCTCAATTCCTCAAAACACCTCCCAGGAAATGGCTTCATCACACATCCAAGTTGGGGCCACTCAGAAGCACTGATGACAGGAAGTCTGGTTCACAGGAAACATATATACATACATGCAGTACAGACCCAAAGAGATCACTGATTGATGGTTAATGTCCGTTGCCACATTGAGTTGTTTTGAGGGATCTGATAAGGATCTGATGTAACTTCATTGTTTATAAGATGGTTGTCATGAGGAAAATAATGGTTTCAATTTACATAACATAACATCAGAGCAGTTTATAGTTCACGTACGATCCGTCAACACTTCCCACATACTGTTATGTGATGCCTTGGCACATATTTCCATATGCACATCTGTTAGGGCTCGGCTGATTCCTGAATTGTGTTTTTATTCTGGTCTATGGCATCAAATGCTCTTGGGTAAAAAGTAGCTAAGGGAAATATTCTCTTAGATGCTAGAGACGGTAAAGCAAGACAAGGTGACTACTGAAAAAAAACACAAAGAGAAACTTTTACGTTAAGAAAGTGGCTACCAAGTTGAAAACAAACTTTAAATGGCAGAAAAAGAAATGTTCTTGTGTAGAGCTGAGGTGACTTTGCCTACGCCTTGCTGGGGCTTCAAAACAAAACCATCCATTGCTTGAGCATTTTACTGTCCTGTACCTATTTAGAAGTCTCGCTGAACAGCTTTGCCAGGGTGGAGGATTTCTTTCTAAAAGCTTTGTTTGACTCTTAATTTTTGAAATGCCAAAAGCAACCATATTATCGAAAAATAATGATAGTACTATCCTTCATCCACCCTCTCTCAGCCATTCAGACTCATTTATTCCCTCCTGCATGATCATTTAGTACCTATTAACACAAGATCCTCATCTCTAATGACCACTCAATTATCATTTTCCCTCTCATTCTAATTAAGCTTAGCAAGGTTAAGTAACGCCCTGAACTCGTGACGGGCGTTGAATGGTCCATTGGCAGATATGGGTGGCAATTACAGTGGCAATATATTCAACCAGGCCTAAAGGGTCTTTTTATTCTCTCCTTCATCCATCAACTGTTATTTTCCCTCGCTTATCATAATGTAGCGTCGCCTCCCTCAATCTGCTGGCCGCGTCACCCTGATTCTCGTGAAGGCCAAATATGGCTGCATGTCTGCGGACATCCCGCCTCAGTCAACTGAAGACTCGCAAGAACTCTAACACCAGTGTCCCTCCCTGTTTTATTCTTTCGCCACACACGTAACCCTCACAAACCACCTTACTTCCCGTCTTGGTTTAGTTTCCCGCCCTTCCTTTCCCGCTACACCTGAATTCAGTTGATCATCACCGTACCTGTACTTAAGCCCCAGTTACTCGATCCGTGCCAGTTTATCCACGGATCCACATCCGACCCCCGTTTTGTATGCGTGTCACTCCAGTAGTTGGCTTGAGGTTTTCTGGTGTATTGTATTAATGTGCATGTGTGGAAAAACGTTGCACTTAAACCGTAATCCCTCAGTGGGGATGAGGAGGAATCTCTTGCTCTCTGACTGGCAATGTCTGTCAGTTGGTCCACTGCAACTGCCCAAATATCTCTACAAATATCTTTATAACGATTTTTGCATTGATTCATTATTTCAAAAGATGCAACTTGTTATTGAGTCCAAATCTGTAGGAATGATTACCTCTCAATGGTGACGGATTACAATAACATTTGGTCACCTTAAAGACGGTTCCCTCTGGACGAATTGTGCCAACGTTTTTAATCCCGTTATTTGGTCCCTCCGCTGTACATGTGTTTTTACATACTTGTGTAAACTTGCTGCTATGCGAGAAGGTAAAAAAGCTAACATGCCAATGTTAGCGATAACTACTTGTTTCACCCCAATACTAAAATAAACTCTGACTCTAACCAGTGAATGAACAAATATGTTTGTTAAATATAATCCCAGCTGTATTACCAACCTTGACCCAGCAGGGATGTCCTTCTTAACGGCTGCAGAAATTTACGTCAAAGGATGCAAAAAGTGAGTCACAGCCCTCATCACCCTTAATCCTTGCTGAGATGAGTGTACCTTCCTTCCTCCAGCTTGTATCTGTAATTAGTTTTGATAAAGAGTGTAATAAGAAGTTTTTCCCCCCCGCTTTCCTTTCACCGAGCGTAACGTAAACAGATGGACCCACTCTGCTATTTCATTCCTTCACATCTCCAGCAGACACCAGGGTCATTTATCAACTGAAACTAAAATTTGCATTGCAACTGGTTAATTAATGACCACGGATCCTCCTGAGCTAGAAACCTGAGTAAGCAAATACACCACAGTCTGCTCTGTGAAATGTAGCTAGACACAAAATATAAGCAGTATTCTGGAAATATAATCAACGCTCAAATTAAAATGATCGGACGAGGATTCATCAGAGCAGGAGTCTGTCGCCCGTCTTGATACGTTGTGGTTCGGAATAAGTGGTTCATAAGAGACCTGTGATGGAGACAAATTCCTAAATTTAAATACTCTCACGTTTAAGAGTTTGACGGTATATATCAGATGGATCTGCTGAAGCTCCCCAAGCTGCTCAGTCAATTGTTAATCAGTAAGACTGTTCTGAATTCAGGCAAGTTGTTCCATATTTATGTGAGGTTTTCAACAGCCACTCCTCAATTATGTTGAATTTCATCCCATTTGAAACAGTAACAATAATATTATACTTGTTTTTAGCAGGTACAAATGTTACGTTCATCTTCACTTGAACCACTCACTGAATATACAAACATTAATAATGCACCACGTGTCTGAAGATCAGCTTGATTGGTGACTAATTTGCCTGTTAATGTTTGCATGTCTCTGTGTCGTCCCTGCGACGGACTTCCAGGGTATAGCTCGTCTCTCGCCCCATGGCGGCTGGGATCGACCCCGCGGTGACCTTGTACGAAGAATAAGCAGTTTTGGAGATGGATGGATGGACAGTCGTGAAAGTCGTATCAATCTTCCAATCTAGCTCTGAAATAGCCAGAACGGAATAAGCACTTTTCTCAGGGTGTTCGACTATTTCAATGATTTGCATTCAACAGGGTTTTTTTTCTGTCTGTCTGCAGCAGTGCTAGCTCGTGCTAACCAATAGCATAACAGAAAAAGTAGATCCTTATCTCATTAAGCAGCCCCATTCTAATTACCAGGATATCTAGGGTAACAAAAAACCCTAAGAAAGAACAGCCTCCCTTATTACATTCAAAGGTGCACAACTAATGTGCTGTAAATATTGTTTATAATAGCCTCTTTAAGTTAAATATCCATATTACCGAGTAACCTCAATAGAACAAAACACCACCAAGTCTCGATTAAACATTTTCCTGCTCCTGTCAGTTTAACATTGATGCATTTCCAGGCTGCTAACAAACTACTCCCTCATTTTCTCTGTTGTCTTATGCACAGAAAGGTGTGACGCAATAGGCCTTGATATGCAGATACGGCAGCAAAAGATAAATTGAGGGTGTGGATGCCTATGTATGTGCCTAAGTAAATCTGTGTCATCGGATTTTAAAAGAAAAGGGTGATTGAATTTTTTGCAGTTGAATATTTATGCATTGAAATCATGTATCAGAATGTTTTTCAACGTTAAAATATTCAACCACAAATAATTCAACCGCAAAAATTCAACCGCAAAAAATTCAACCGCAAAAATTCAACCGCAAAAATTCAACCGCAAAAAATTCAACCGCAACATCCGGGAACCCAAGGAAGAGCAATCGATTCTAGATTCAAGATCGGGAGCGTGCGTCAAGCAAAAGGAGCGAGTGCCCCAATACAACTTCGGCTTGTCGACTATGATTTCAGCCATGTCCATTAATAATGGGGCTTCGTTGAGTGTTTTAACTTTAACTTCATGGCATCAGTGTGGTTTGTGTCTGTAAGATTCAGTAATAGACTGCTGATGCTGGGATGCTTTGACGAGCTATTAGGAGTGATTGGCGGAGTTTTGAAACCATGAACGCGCTTGTAGAGCGCATAGGAGCCGGGGGGGCAGCGGCTTTAGCGGAGCGTGTGCAGACGCATAACCCCGACAGTACGTGCAGGTTATGCTGTTTACATGCACGATCATTACATGTCCAACAGTGATGGGGTTTGATAAAGTCAAACTAGTATCACAACTTCTACTCAACTGTCTTTTAAGAACTTTATTAAAATTCAGTGACAGATCACAATCTCTGCTTCACAACTGTAAGGTCGTATGGGACAATAAACCTTTGTCACACTATAATGTGTATATGTCTGATATGTTCGTGTTTTGGGTTTTTTTTTAATGATACTGTATAATATATGACATCGTACTGAGAGTTTGAAAAAACAACCACAACCGATCTCGTTTAACTTCCGCTTATTTCACGTCCAATGTACAAATGTCAGCTGTCTATTACTGAATCTTACAGACACAAACCACACAGATGGCATATAATAGAGTTAAAACACACCGAAGCCCCATCACCGTTAGACATGCAATGATCGTGCATGTAAACAGCATAACCTGCACGTACTGTCGGGGTTATGCGTCTGCACACGCTTCGCTAAAGCCGCTGGGTTTGCGGTTGAATTTTTTGCAGTTGAATAGTTTAACGTTGAAAAACATTCAGATACATGATTTCAATGCATAAATATTCAGTGCTAGAAATTCAATCACCTTTTTCTTTCAAAATCCGATGACACAGATTTACTTCCATAGATGCCGGTGTGTGACGGCGACAACGCAGCATCTCTCTTTGTGTGATACACCATCATGCATCACTGGCGAAATAAAAAAAATATGAGAAGACATATTGTTGAACTGATAGCCTGTGTGCAGTAACCATGCTGTGATTAATGGTAGAATGAAGCGTGGCTGATCGAGTGTTTCGTTTTTTGTGAGACTCTCTGTAACAAGTTCATTTAGCTTTTTTTTTGAGGACTTCAAACTGTTTACCTTTTGGCTTATAATGTGTTGTCTCATAGGATTTATCATTAAGCTACTTAATGCTGTTGAATCT